CATCTCTGACTCTTCCTTCTTCATGCCCTGTGCTTAAACTGTGCCCAGTTTCTTTTATGTTTCCAAAAATCTTGTCTCCAGTAATGCATCCCAGGTGCAAATTTATGCCATTTCTGCCGCCAATACCTTTTTATAAGTCTTGATGTCGCCATCTATGACAAAATAATTGCTTCATGGTAACAATCATCTAGGAGGCTGGTATTCCTAAATCTCCATCTGTTTTGCCCTTGTCCTCAGTTATTAGCTGGGATGTCAAGTGCAGCATCCTTTGCAGGGTTAGACTTTCCATGAGGTGTCCTCAGCATCACCAATAGTCTTTACTTCCTAATTATTCCTCCATGGAAAAATTCTCTTATTTACCATGCTCTGCACACATGGCCGTAATTATTTGCTTTTGCTGATATGTTATTTCCTCCATTCTGAAAGATTATCCCTAGCTTACCAAATCTTAAAATCTAATCTTCCTTTGAAAACCGGTTTTTTGTATCACTTTTCTTAACTAGTCAGACTGCCCTAATGACACTGTCTTCTCACACTTTTGTTATATCTGTTTGCTTTTCTACATACTTGTAGGTATGCCTTTCTTGTATAGTCATGTGTTAATGTTATTCTTGCATTGAGAGTAAACAGTTTATTTCTTTCACATGCTTCACATTTGCTGAAGTAGTTTTAGAAATAATATCTGACATATGGTAGTGTCTCAACAAACTACCTCTCAGTAATATGGGCACTTTTATTTTACTTGCTCATTAGCTCTGTTTGCTTAGGTGATTCAGGGCAGCTCTGGAAGAATTAACCAAACCCATATGAATGGTGCATACTTTTTGACTACTAGTTTCTCAGGGATTTGTCCTACAGAATAGGTTAAGGAGGAGCTAATATTTAACTTCATGGATATTCATGAAAATGCTCTTTATGGGGCACCTGGGTGGCCCAGGCGGTTAAGCTCTGCCTTCGGCTCCAGGGCATGATCCTAGGGTCCTGGGATGGAGCCCCACGTTGGGCTCCCTGCTTAGTGGGAGCCTGCTTCTCCCTCTGCCTCTGCCCCTCCCACTGCTTGTGTGCTCTCTTTCTCTTTGTCAAATAAATAAAATCTTGTAAAAAATTATGTTGATTGCTAAATTGGCATAACAATACGTGATTTTTTAAGTTTTGAAACAGATAATAGGGATCCCTGGGTGGCGCAGCGGTTTGGCGTCTGCCTTTGGCCCAGGGCGTGATCCTGGAGACCCAGGGTCTAGTCACACATCGGGCTCCCGGTGCATGGAGCCTGCTTCTCCCTCTGCCTGTGTCTCTGCCTCTCTCTCTCTCTGTGACTATCATAAATAAATAGAAAAACTTACAAAAAAAATAAATTAAAAAAAAAATTGAAACAGATAATAAATTAGACTTCATTTTGATTGCTTTTCTAAAAAATTACTGTAGGTGTTAGTAGACACATACATAAACATATGCAAATATGGGAGGATGTATAGGGCTAATATTAATTATCTATGGTGGGTAAATTACAGGCTTTTAAATTTTATCTACATTTTCTAACAATATAAAATAACATAATACTTTGAAAATAACTCACTATCAAGACTTCTCTCAGTGATAGACTTTATATGGTTTCTATACAAAGTGATCAAGATAGCTGTTTCAATTAAATTGCTTTATTTTACTCACTGAATGACTTCTAGGATAAACCATAGCAAATGTTTGTCAATTATAGCATAACCTCCCCTAACCATTGTCTACTGATATTTAAACCATTATGCTGACATCACAATTTATTTGGAAAACAGTCAAAATATAAAATCTGTAAGATGTCAAATTTGAAAATTAAAATAAAAATCTCAGCCGGAAGTAGCTATTTCACATGTATGAGAAAGACAACAAATGGTAGCACTACTTTGTTTTTTAATAACCAAGTGAAGTAGTTTGGGATTTCATGAAGGAGAATGGCTCATGCAGGAGAATTGTTTATGCAGGAAGGTGGCTTGAATTCAACTTCTACAATATATGTACAGATTAAGATCTGAAGTAGAGCCTGAAGGCATAGAAGTAAACAGGAGCCATACATGCACACATACAAGTATACAAGCATACATGCATGCATAAATGAATATTGTAACTGTCTAGAAAGTTAGATGCTATGTTCTAACACTCAGCTAAGTGTTAGAACAATTTTAATTACTTCACAAAATAATTTCAGTAAGTAAAATAAACTTTTAATTGAAACAACTAATTGTATCACTTTATATGGAAACCATGTCAATTAAGCCTATAGATTAAAAAGGTCTTAATTATGATGAATATTCTCAGATATTTAATAATTTTTTAAATGATTGGAAAATACAAGAAAACAAAGTGGGATCTATAGGCCAGAGGCACTAGATGTGATGATAAATAGGAAAATATATTTCCTGGAGGAGGAAAACAAAAGCAGTACCTCCAACAGTTCATCTTGTAACCAGGGAGGGAGAGGGGTGTGTCTAACCTATAATTCCTTGAATTTTACTTAGGGAGTATTATGCTTTATCTCTCTAAGCCTAGAAGTGGACAGAATTGATGATCATAATTTTCTGTACCAAACCAAGTAGTATGAAAATTGAGTACAATATTACTTGAGTTAAATATTGCTTTCAAGCTGGCAAAGCTGGACTATATAATATGGTTTACAATAACATGGGCTTTTAAATCTGACATGCGTGGTTTTGAATTTTGGCTTTACTGCATTCACAGTACTTATTCACTTAACAATTTTTACCATTAATCTTATGGCAGGCAAAACACTAGACATTGGTGGTAAATCAGTGGAGCAAAACACACATTATCCTTGCTCTCTTCGAGTTTAATGATGGAGATAGACATTAATCAAATAATTTTACAAATAACACAATTGCATACAATGGTAAATCCATGCAGGAAAATTTGCTGGAAGCTATGCAAGTATATTTTGGATTAATCAATCAATCAATGGTTATAAAATAATCCAGGAAAGATTGTAGTCCTATGGTAGATGGGAGTATGATACTACTTAGAGAATTTATACTATTTATTTATTTATCAGCTTGATTATAGAAAGCCATAGAAAGCATCAAAAGCATAAGAGTAGAAAAATGAGCTTATAGACGTGGATGGAGTAGACCAATCAGAACGTGATCCTAGGTGATCCTAGGGCAGATGAAAGGCATTGAAGATTTTTAAACAAGAAAGTTGCAAGGTGAAATTTCTGTTTCTGAAGATACTTTGACTACATTAAGGAAAAATGTGGATTGAAAGATTTTGAGGATCACCTGGGTGGTTCAGCGGTTTAGTGCCTGCCTTCAGCCCAGGTAGTGATCCTAGAGTTCCGGAATCGAGTCCCAGATTGGGCTCCCTGAATGGAGCCTGCTTCTCCCTCTGCCTATGTCTCTGCCTCTCTCTCCCTCTGTGTGTGTGTCTCTCATGAATAAATAAATAAAATCTTTTTTAAAAAAAAACAAGAAAGATTTTTAGTATTATAGGGAATTCAATGAATTTGAAAAATACCAGACCACAGGGGTACCTGGGTGGCTCAGTCAGTTAAGTGTCTTCCTTCATTCAGCTCAGGTCATGATCTTGGGGGTGTCTTGGGATTGAGTCCTGTGCTAGATGGACTCCCTGCTCAACGGGGAGTCTGCATTTCCCTCTGCCTCTCCCCCACTGGTGTGTGCATGCTCTCTCTCTCTCTCTCTCTCTCTCTTTCTCTCTCTCAATTAAATGAATAAAATATTTTTAAAAAATAGAAAAACACAGCAAAACCATACCAGATTACAGATAATAGTCACTTGAACTAGGAAGTGTTAGGAAGTGGTGGTAGGTAGTAGAGATATACTAGAGATAATGACTCCTACATTTTTGGCTTTTGCAACTGATTGGAAGAAGATGCCAGTCACAAAGCTAGGCAATACATAAATATGACCAAAATTAACTGCACTTTTAATTTGACTAAATTTATTTTAAGATGCTTTTGAGATATCCAGATGGAAATTCAATAAGTTCTTGGATATAAAGGTGTAAAGCTCAGAGAATCCTGAGTTAGAAATATTAATCTGATATTCATTTGGGTTATAGTTGGTTATTGAAGTCATAGGCATGAATAAGCTCAGAGGAAGAGAGCATAGACTTAGAAGAGAAGGAATCACAGATACATCTTTAAAACGCTTTAATATTTAAAGGACACTTAGAGCCAGCAGAGGAGACTGAACAGAAAAAAAGGAAAACCTGGAGAACATTAAGAAACCAACGAAAGAAGGTGCTTCAGGAAAGAGCGGTTAATAGCGCTGAATGCTCCTGGGAAGTCAAATTTATTGAGGATTTAAAATTGTCAAGCATGGGGCTTGTGAGAATCATAGAATTAGAATTGTGGGTGCACAAACCAGGCTGCGGAGGATACATATAAGGAAATAGATTAAATATAGGCAACTGCTTGATTAGGCAATGGGGGGAAAATGAGAGCTGAAGGGGGAGGGAGAGTCAAAGTAATATCTCTTAACAGGATAGAATTTTAAGTATGTCTCAGTACTCATGGAAATAATACACTAAAGAGAGATAAATCTAACAGAAAAGAGAAGGAATAATCAAGAGAAGGTTAGACAACATTGGCTAAGTAGCTTAATATCTCTGCCTTGGTTTTCACAGCTGTAAAGTGGGAGAAAATAATACCTAGCTCATTAGACTATTCTAATAATTAAATAATATGACGTTGGTAGAATGCTCAGTAAAAATTTTGGCACACAGAATGCATTTAATAAATCGGTGCTTAAAATGAACCCAAGATGTAATACACATCAGGTGCTCAACAAATACTTATTAAATGTTGAACGAATATGATTCTGTTACATGATTTTTGATTAGTTGGGAATATAAATGAGTGTGATGCATATTACTGTATCCTGGATGACAAATACACTTCGGATATTCATTGATGATGATGATGATATTCAGTATTTGCCTTATGATGATGTTGATGTTTGGGATATTTGTGTTCACAGGGTACTATTTTTCTGCCTGGAAATAAAGTCCTTGAACATCCATGCAATGAAGAGAGCCCAGGAAAATTCCTCTTTGAAGTAGTTCCAGGTAGGATATTTTTCTGGTTTAACTTAATGCCATTCCATGTTGGTAAAAGTGTAGACACACAACCTTTATTCTTCTTGGGTTGAGGTGAAGACCATTAATTTGGAAAAGCAAGTGTCAAGTTCGGTTAGCATTTACAAAGGTTATTATTCCAGGTTTGTACACCAGTACAAATGATCGAACACACACACACATAAAAGACACGTGGCCATATGACTACTGGATATCCATTTGTCCTCATGAGATTCCAGAGTTGACCAGAAGTCATGACATAGCATTTATAAGGGACTATTAGAGACAAAATCAGTTTTATAGTTCTCTTGTGATATGATATTTGGCAAAAAAAGAGAAAGAAATTGGACAAGGTGTTATAGTTGGTATGCATTGCCCAGTTGATTCACTGTCACAGTTCTTCACAGACTGCATCTTAAAGGAACCTTTGCTCTAAAAATAAAATAAAACAAAAATCCTCTTTCAGCGACTAGCCAAGCTATGCAGTTCTGTAACTCAGCTTTGCTCCCAACCAACCACTTCCACATGTTTGGCTTGTAGCATGAAGGACATCTCTGCCAAGCCATGAGATCCTGTAGGTAAATTTCTTCAACATCTGTTCTTTTTTTTTTTTTCCTAGTCATCTGCATCCTTCTCTCTCAAAGTACCTGATCTCCACTTAAATATTTGACTCACTCAACAATAGTTTTTTTCAAGGCCATGATCTACTTCTTTGATCTGTTTTTTAGCTCTTCCTTAATCCTTGATGTAAGGAAAAGGATTAGGAACGTGGCTTTTATAGCGTTGGCTCTGGCTAACCCAGTTCATGTGATACTGACACAGTATACTAATATACATTAAGAACATTTTTAGTTAGTATACACAGTATACTAATATAACACAGATACTAATCACAGTCTAGGATGTATGTGAATTTATTTGGGTGACTAATATGTAAAGCATATCAATAATGCTGGCACAAAGGCAGCCAATAAAACATTTTTTCCAGATTTATAAATGCTGGGAATCTAAAATGTGGAAGCATATTTCTCCCCCTCACTGGAAACAGCTGTAGCACTGAGTTCATCTGGCTCATGATGGAATCCATGACTAAATGTTAATTAATGCAGCTGAAGTGCAGAAAGGTTAGTCAGATGCCTTGTATTATTTGTTTTCCCCCAGGGAGAACACATTGTAAGAAACCTGAATCTTGTTTGCCCTATTAAAATCTTTTTATACTTACTTTTTAGTGGAATACCCTGTATGGAACCAAATTCCAGATGTTGCAAAGTCTTTGAAGTATCACTAGAGGAAATTTCCTTCCCTATTTATTTGCAACATTAGTGCCTATTGGCTTTTCAGTGAACATGGTATTAAACTGACAGCTTTGACTCCTTATCTCCAATAATATGAAAGGTCTGTGCTGTCATTCTGTCTGCTAAATGAGTTGAGATTTCATCTTTTGGTGAAGGTGTTCTGATATAACATAGATGGATATTGTCTAGATTGTTCTAGAAAGAATTGTGTGTTCAAGCCCAGCAAGCCTCCAAACTTCCTCCTCTAAGATTGTTGCTCTAGGGCATGCGTTTCATGTGCAGGGCATGTGACATAACGGCTTTTGATGAGCAAAGCCTAAGAAGTTTGAGACTGTGTGATGTGAAATCTGAAGGTTGTCCTTTCAAAAAAATATCTTCAAGGAAATTTAGGTTTGCTGCAGTAATTATGGAAATAAACATATTATGCCCATAGCTCCTTTGAAAAGATGACTCCTGAATCATTAATACAATATATAGTAGCTTCCAAATTAGGTTTTATAATTCTGAATTACCTTAAGGAGTGGCAAGAGAATTGTGCCAAATACTTCTTTAAAGAGAGAGTTGGAAAAACACTCTGGCTACATTGAGAATCCAGTGTTTGTGCCATTAATCTTGGTCATCGAGGCTTTATTAGTGTGCACCTCACATTAAGATAGAATTTCCAGACAAATACTTCTGTACTTGTATGAAAATGTGGGGATATGTATCACATGATTTCTGGACAATTTTTGCAAAATTAGGATTACTAAGTACACTTGATCCATCTTTGCAAATGAGAATGATAAGATAATGTTTTTTAATTATTCTAGTTGTGTGATCGTTTGATGCAGGGAATCTGGAAAGCTGCAAGAGTGTTTTCATTTTTCAGACAGTGTGGTAAACAGGAAGGACTGCAGAAATGTGGTCAGTGCCTTGCACAGAACCTTCTGTAGTCCTGCCTGGCAGCAGATCCTAGGAACACATTCTTATTCTATATAGGCTTTGTCTGTGGAATTCTCTCAATCATTTGAAAACTCATCCTACAAATGATGTTTGCAGATCCAACATGATTTTGTCCTTATGTACAAATACCTCAAGCCCAACTACCCAAGGTATATCAATGTTTAGGATTAAATCCTTTAATCTCACCTGCCAATACTGATTTCCAACAAAACTAACAAAAGCCTCCCAAAAGCTCTTTGCCAAATAATCTAGTACCTTATATATACACACACCTTTGTGTATGAGTGTGTACATATATATATATATGTACTTTGCGCATATATATATATATATACACACACACACACAGTTTGTTGGTATAGGTGCTGTATATCTTTATAATTCTTTGTATTATAGGATATTATATTATAGTATATAATTCTTTATAATTTTATATATATGTGTGTATATATATCCATATATGCTATGTAGATAGGAGTTTTTGTGTTGTCATTTCTGTTTTGCTTTAGTCTGAAATATCCTCTGAAATTAAGTAATAGCTATGTGTAAATAATACAAAAAAAGATTTCTCAGTAGAATTGAAAGTCTCAGATCTTTGTATATTAGATTTGTTTGTGTATTTCTATGCATGTTTTAAATTTTTATAAAAAATCTATCTGAAAACAAATCTACCATAATTTAGGATTAGCTTCTTTCAGACTTGTTATTATCCCATGAAATGGATTGTCTCTAAATAATTCCATGATTTATAGCATTTCGCTCCAGTTTTTTTTTTCCTATTTCTCTACCTCTTATTCAAAATGGGGATTTTAGCCAAATTGGCAAATTTGAAGACTTTGCTGTCAGGCATGCCAAATTGTAGACTGGAGTGAACTTTTATGGCCAAGTGCTAAGCATTGGGGAAATGTGGTTGAGAAAGGAATGTTGGCAGAATTTAACATATAGTACTTATTTCAAGAAAATGCAGTCAGTCTCTTTGCTTCTCAAAATGTGTTCTGGGCAAATTTTCCTTATGATACTTAAAAGAACTAAACAGAGTAATTAATGGATGATGATGTCTTAACTTTCTTTGAAGAATAGTCTGTCAGAGGGGGAAGACAGAGATTCAGAGACTGCAGGCTGGAAAAGGAGACAAGAAATGTGTATTCCATAAGAGGTAGGAGCCACCTCTTTCTTTTCATCTTGGTGTCTCTAACACCTGGTGTAGTAAAATGCTCGGTGCTGGGTAAATACTCATTGAAGTGTGTATGTTTACTGGGTTTATGGAGGACTCACAATCATATGAAATGGTTTTATTATTGGCGATAGCTACTCCTAACTTGGTTGTATTGAACTCTTATTTCCTGCTGTGTAAGATCTCTCCATCCCCTGGTGCAGCAAAGTCCTCTTTGTAGCTCTAATGGCTAAAGTGGAGGGAAATTCTTTATGTCCCATTTCTCTGCCTTCCTTTCTGATAATGCCACCAAGAGAAAGATGGAAGAAGATAGAAGTGTGTCTACACAGAAGCTGTTGCTGAGGTTAGCCTCTTAACACTGACTGGTTATTACCTCCCTCTCCAAAAGCTGATTCACTCATAGAGTACATTTGTGAATTATTCAGGATCCCTCGAATGGGAAATCTGCTTCACATAGTAGGATTTTCCAATGTAGGCATGGTCCTGTTAGATGGGATACCATCAGAAGGCCCCAAGGCCAGCTGCTTTCTTTTTCTTATCCAGCTACCAGGAAACTCACATATCCTGGTCTGCTAAGGCGGGATAACAAAGGCTCTTTCGCTATTACCGCTTCCTTCAATGCTGTCATCTTTCCCTTTTCTCCATGAACCATGAGCTTCAGGCCCTGCAGATTGAATGACTTGCAAATCTTCGTGTTAGTCTTCAACTTGGAGAAAGTATAAGTGACAGTTCTAGCATACTTCAGAATTTACCAGCAACTCTCTGTGCTTTCCTGACTTGTTCTGATGGCTGAGAAAATTTCTTTTCCTCCCCTTCAAAAAAATAGGGTTTATTTTGAAAACTTTTCTCCAAGAGGCACTTTCTCTGTCCTAATTTTCCTCTTGTCATAGTCAGGGGCAGAGAAATGGGGTTGGGGTTTTTTCTCTGAAATGCATTTTCTGTAAGCCCTGAAGGGAAGTGGCTAGGTACAACTTCCATTGTGGTTTTCAACTTAGAAGGTGAGTTTTTAGTAGTTTTTCTCTTCAGATTTTGATCTTAACAGCAATTCCAGGGGAATGGAAAGACAACTTTTTATCTATATTTGTCTGTGCTCTTTTATTGGATTCTGGAGAAACATTCTCTGATGGATAGTGACGTTAAAAGGTGAATTGTGGATTGAAAAGATATATGCATCCCTATGTTTATTGCAGCATTATTTAGTATTATTTAGAATAGCCAGGATGTGGAAGCAACTCAAGTATCTATCAACAGGTGAATGGATAAAGAACATATTATAGTATGTATATTTTATATTGTTTTTTAAAAATAATGAAATTGCCATTTGCAAAAATATGGATGGATCTGGAGGGTATAATGTTAAATGAAACAAGCCTGTCAGAGGAATGCAAATACCACATGATTCCCCTCATATGTAGAATTTGAGAATATTATTCAGCCATTAGAAACGACAAATACCCACCATTTGCTTCAACGTGGATAGAACTGAAGGGTATTATTCTGAGTGAAGTAAGTCAATCGGAGAAGGACAAACATACGGTTTCATTCATTTGAGAAATATAAAGAGTAGTGACAGGGATTCA